ATCGGTTGCCCCGACGACCATATTCCATAGCTAATTCACTTAGGTAGGGAAGGGACGATCCTAGTGACTCTCCGCCCCCCGGCGAGTACTTCCTCGCCTCCATGTGGCCCGGGCCTAAAAAAGTTGGTCGGGTTGGAAAACCGTGGGAAATAATAGCCCCGGGTAATGCCAACGGCAGCCCCCCTGCTAACGCGGCGGGGGCTGTTTGAGAGCTAACGGCGATTTGAGCCACAGCTGGGCCTTGGGGGGGAAATCGCACTTCCCCTCTCCAGGGAGAACCGTACTACTACTACTACTTCTACTATTGGCGATGCCCAGGGCAGTAACATCGACAGTGACAGCGGCATTCACATTGGCGATGAGAAGTGCAGGAACGTCGACAGTGATATCGGAATTCACATTGACTATGTCACTGACGGTTACATCGACAGTTACATAGACATTCACATTGATGAAGACACTGGCGTTGTCATGGGCAGTAACATCGACAGTGACATCGGCATTCAGATTCGCAATGACCAGGGCAGTAACATCGACAGTGACATCGGCATTCACATTGGCGATGACCAGGGCAGTAACGGCGACAGTGACATCGGCATTCAGTTTGTCGATGACGTGGACATTAAAATCGATGGCGAATGGCGATGGCGAGGGCGGTAACGTCGACAGAGACATCGACATTAACATCGATGATGACATGGGCAGTAACATCGACAGAGATATCGACATTCACATTGGTGATGAGAAGTGCAGGAACGTCGACAGTGATATCGGAATTCACATTGGCGATGGCGAGGCAGTATCGTCAACAGTGTCATCGGCATTCACATTGGCGATGACGTTGGCATCAAAATCGACAGTGACATGGGCATTCACATTAGCGTTGATGAGGGCAGTAACATCGACAGAGATATCGACATTCACATTGGTGATGACAAGTGCAGGAACGTCGACAGTGATATCGGAATTCACATTGGCGATGGCGAGGCAGTATCGTCGACAGTGACAACGGCATTCACATTGGCGATGAGAAGTGCAGGAACGTCGACAGTGATATCGGAATTCTCATTGACGTTGGCGAGGGCAGTATCGTCGACCGTGTCATCGGCATTCTCATTGGCGATGACCAGGGCAGTAACGTCGACAGTGACATCGGCATTCACATTGGCGATGACGAGGGCTGTAACGTCGACAGAGACATCGACATTCACATTAGCGTTGATGACGGGAGTATCATCGTCAGAGATATCGACATTCACATTGACGATGACACTGACGTTGACATGGGTAGTAACGTCTACAGTGATATCGGAATTCACATTGGCGATGGCGAGGGCAGGATCGTCGACCGAGTCATCGGCATTCTCATTGGCGATAACGAGAGCAATAACATCGTCAGTGACATCGGCATTCACTTTGACGATGACAAGGGCAGTAACATCGACAGTGACAACGGCATTCACATTTGTGATGACCAGGGCAGTAACGTCGACAGAGACATCGTCATTCACATTGATGATGACACTGACGTTGACATGGGCAGTAACATCGACAGTGACATCGGCATTCACATTCGCGATGATATGAGCAGTAACATCGACAGTGACAACGGCATTCACATTTGTGATCACCAGGGCAGTAACGTCGACAGAGACATCGTCATTCACATTGATGATGACACTGACGTTGACATGGGCAGTAACATCGACAGTGACATCGGCATTCACATTCGCGATGATATGAGCAGTAACATCGACAGTGACAACGGCATTCACATTTGTGATCACCAGGGCAGTAACGTCGACAGAGACATCGTCATTCACATTGATGATGACACTGACGTTGACATGGGCAGTAACATCGACAGTGACATCGGCATTCACATTCGCGATGATATGAGCAGTAACATCGACAGTGACAACGGCATTCACATTTGTGATCACCAGGGCAGTAACGTCGACAGAGACATCGTCATTCACATTGATGATGACACTGACGTTGACATGGGCAGTAACATCGACAGTGACATCGGCATTCACATTCGCGATGATATGAGCAGTAACATCGACAGTGACAACGGCATTCACATTTGTGATCACCAGGGCAGTAACGTCGACAGAGACATCGTCATTCACATTGATGATGACACTGACGTTGACATGGGCAGTAACATCGACAGTGACATCGGCATTCACATTCGCGATGATATGAGCAGTAACATCGACAGTGACAACGGCATTCACATTTGTGATCACCAGGGCAGTAACGTCGACAGAGACATCGTCATTCACATTGATGATGACACTGACGTTGACATGGGCAGTAACATCGACAGTGACATCGGCATTCACATTCGCGATGATATGAGCAGTAACATCGACAGTGACAACGGCATTCACATTTGTGATCACCAGGGCAGTAACGTCGACAGAGACATCGTCATTCACATTGATGATGACACTGACGTTGACATGGGCAGTAACATCGACAGTGACATCGGCATTCACATTGGCAGTGACATGGGCAGTGATATCGACAGTGACCACGGCATTCACTTTGACGATGACGAGGGCAGTAACATCGACAGTGACATCGGCATTCACATTCGCGATGATATGAGCAGTAACATCGACAGTGACAACGGCATTCACATTGGCAATGAGAAGTGTAGTAACGTCGACAGTGATACCGGAATTCACATTGGCGATGACATGGGCCGTAACATCGACAGTGACAACGGCATTCACATTGGCAGTGTGAAGTGCAGTAACGTCGACAGTGTCATCGGCATTCACATTAGTGCTGACGAGGGCAGTAACATCGACAGAGACATCGACATTCACATTGATGATGACACTGACGTTGACATGGGCAGTAACATCGACAGTGACATCGGCATTCACATTGGCGATTACGAGGGCAGTAACGTCGACAGTGTCATCGGCATTCACATTGGCGTTGTCCAGGGCAGTAACATCGACAGTGACATCGGCATTCACATTCATGTGACATGGACAGTAACCTCGAAAGTGACATCCGCATTCTCAATTGGGCTAACGAGGGCAGTAACAACGACAGAGACATCGGCATTCACTTTGACGATGACATGGGCAGTAACATCGACAGTGACATCGGCATTCACATTTGTGATGACCAGGGCAGTAACATCGACAGTGACTTCGGCATTCACATTGGCAGCGACATGGGCAGTGATATCGACAGTGACACCAGCATTCACGTTGGCGATGACGAGGGCAGTAACATCGACAGTGACATCGGCATTAACATTCGCGATGACATGAGCAGTAACATCGACAGTGACATCGGCATTCACTTTCGCGATGACATGGGCAGTAACATCGACAGTTACCACGGCATTCACATTGGCTATGACGAGGGCAATAACATCGACAGTGACGTCGGCATTCACATTGGCGATAACGAGGGCAGTAACGCCGACAGTGTCATCGGCATTCACACTAGCGATGACGAGGGCAGCAACGTCGACAGCGACATCGGCATTCACATTGGTGATGAGAAGTGCAGTAACGTCGACAGTGATATCGGAATTCACATTGGCGATGAGAAGTGCAGTAGCGTCGACAGTGACATCGGCATTCACTTTGACGATGACATGGGCAGTAACATCGACAGTGACAACGGCATTCACATTGGCAGTGTGAAGTGCAGTAACGTCGACAGTGTCATCGGCATTCACATTAGCGCTGACGAGGGCTGTAACATCGACAGAGACATCGTTATTCACATTGATGATGACACTGACGTTGTCAGGGGCAGTAACATCGGCGGTGACATCGGCAGTCACACTAGCGCTGACGAGGGCAGTAACATCGACAGTTACATAGAAATTCAGATTGGGGATGACACTAACGTTGAAATGGGGCGTAGCATCGACAGTGACATCGGCATTCACATTGTTGATGACATGGCCTGTAACATCGACAGCGACAGCGCCTTTCCGATTGTGATGATACTGACGTTGACATGGGCAGTAACATAAACACAGTAACAACGGCATTCACTTTGGCGATGACGTGGGCAGTAACATCGACAGTGAAATAAGCATTCACATTGGCGATGATGAGGGCAGTAACATCGACAATGACATCGGCATTCACATTGGCGATGACCAGGGCAGTAACATCGACTGTGACATCGGCATTCACACTGACGATGACCCTGACGGTGACATCGGCAGTCACATTGGCGAATAAAGGGACAGCAACATCTAGAGTTACCGACAAATTCAGATTGAGGATGACACTGACGTTGACTTGGGGTGCAACATCGACAGTGACATCGGCATTCACATTGCCGGTGACAAGAACAGTAATATCGACAGTTACATCGAAATTCAGATTGATGATGACACTGACGTTGACATGGGCAGTATGATCGACAGTGACCACGGCATTCACATTGGCGATGACGGGGGCAGTAACATCGACAGTGACCACGGCATTCACTTTGACGATGACATGGGCAGTAACATCGACAGTGACATCGGCATTCACATTTGTGATGACCAGGGCAGTAAAATCGACAGTGACATCGGCATTCACATTGGCGATAACGAGGGCAGTAACGTCGACAGTGTCATCGGCAGTCACACTAGCGCTGACGAGGGCAGTAACATGGACAGTGACATCGGCATTCACATTGGTGATGAGAAGTGCAGTAACGTCGACAGTGACTTCGGCATTCACATTGGCAGTGACATGGGCAGTGACATCGACAGTGACACCGGCATTCACGTTGGCGATGACGAGGGCAGTAACATCGACAGTGACATCGGCATTAACATTCGCGATGACATGAGCAGTAACATCGACAGTTCCCACGGCATTCACATTGGCTATGACGAGGGCAATAACATCGACAGTGACGTCGGCATTCACATTGGCGATTACGAGGGCAGTAACGTCGACAATGTCATCGGCATTCACACTAGCGCTGACGAGGGCAGTAACATCGACAGCGACATCGGCATTCACATTGGTGATGAGAAGTGCAGTGACGGCGACAGTGACATCGGCATTCGCATTGGCGATGAGAAGTGCAGTAGCGTCGACAGTGACATCGGCATTCACTTTGACGATGACATGGGCAGTAACATCGACAGTGACAACGGCATTCACATTGGCAGTGTGAAGTGCAGTAACGTCGACAGTGTCATCGGCATTCACATTAGCGCTGACGAGGGCTGTAACATCGACAGAGACATCGTTATTCACATTGATGATGACACTGACGTTGACATGGGCAGTGACATCGACAGTGACATCGGCATTCACATTTGTGATGACCAGGGCAGTAACATCGACAGTGACATCGGCATTCACATTGGCGATAACGAGGGCAGCAACGACGACAGTGTCATCGGCATTCACACTAGCGCTGACGAGGGCAGTAATATTGACAGTGACATCGGCATTCACATTGG